TTTTGCCGATAGTTAACCTTCCCCCGTGCTTTAAGCGCTTCGCCACACATTGTAAAGCAAAACACGACCGCATGATCAAACAAGCAGCTATCGGTTTAACCACTTTAAGCAATGGCTGACAGACCTACTCTGCAATTGAAAAAATACTGAGTTTCGGCAATATTGAGAATATTTGATCAATGGATACTTTTCTTGTCAGGTGGAACTTCAAAAGCTAATGGAACAGATTCGCCAAAATCTTTCTCAACCACCTAAAAATGTTATTTTTGAGGTGCTTATGATTTTAAGGATAAAAATTATACCTCAACTTCTTCGAATATCCCGTAACCTCTGAAGCGATAGATATTTAGTAGAAATATGGACAAAACAAACGATACTATAAGTGTTACGAGTATCAGAGGGATCAGTATAACCCAGTATTTGGCTGGGACATAAGAGATCCCTGAAACATTTAAAGAAATGATGTGGACTATTATGCGATCCTTCAAATACCAAAGATTTTCAGGAGCAATTTACCTCGTAGAAATATTGAAACAAATTCAAATTTGTAACTAAATTAAAAATAAGTATGTTCATGGATACAGTTCTTTGTACTCACCCAACCTATTCAATATCGGTGTTGGGACAACAGCCCACAAGGTGTACAGTATCAAGAAGCAGAAAGACGATATGTACAGAGAGAAGCCGTACACACCTGATAGAGACAATGAACATTGAAGAATTTTAAGGGCTATTGTTGTGAAGTATTTCAAAGTGTTAACTAACCTCGTGCTGGTAACGGATTGGGTGTATGGATATCTTCAGCACATGGCTTCGTTGGCATGCAAATATCGGAAAGGCACTAAAGCTACAAACAAATACACGTCTATGCAAACCCTACAATCGCCTAGAAAATTGTTGGTTAATCGAACCACTGTCTAACATTCCACACAAAACATCCCAATATATTTATCTGTAAAATTTGCGTACAAATTTATAAATTGCGATTATATTATATTTAATTTTCATCCAAATGTATTTCAAAGCGCTTTCACTTCCAATCATCATCTCCATCCGATTTCCTGCCCTCATCAACTCCTCTGGACGTTTCCAGACCCGTAGAGTTTGAAGAAGGATTCATACCAGATATAGCTAAACAATAAATAAGATTGACTAAAATTTTTGATCAGCTACAAAGATTTCAAAGATTAGAACTTTGGATAAACTAGAAAGATTCACCTAACAGAAGTGTCCTATGACATGACAATTGCTTAAATATGCAGGCAACTAAATTTTCTCCAACTCTACTCTAGAGCCATACTGTGAATGAGAAAACAACACGTTCAAGATCTACCTCAAGATATAAGGAAAGTGAAGAAACACTTCTTTTAGATAAGAGAAATCAAGATTCTATTAAAATAGAGAATATTATCATATTCTAACTATTTCCCAATGAATTTGGTTCTAATTCAAAATTAGGATTTTTAGAAATGATAACCTACCTTTCCTTCTTGCTTCAAGAGCTTTTGCCAATGACATCATCAGGCTGTTGCCGGGTGAAGAGCTCTTCTCAGACAAGGCCGAAGAGCTGAGTGATTCACTCTCCTAGCAAAAAGAATGGTAATCAACGATTGCAAAGCAAGTCGAGGATCTCAATCGAGATGACTCACCTTAACAGAGCGACGTTGACTACCAATACTTTTCAATTTCGCCTTGCCAGCGCCTCCAGCCGCTCGTATGGCAGCCATCAAATCAGCTCTGTAATTTTATCTATTTGGTTACTATATAGAAATGACCCACTAAATATGACCAAAACTTAGAAGTTACCTGTCATTAGTTTGTGGTAATGAAGACTGCGGCACAGGAGCGGGTGCTGGACTTAGCAATAAAGGCGGTGGTGGTGGAGGTGGAGGGGGTGGAGGAACTGATGTCACCGCTGGTGCAGACTGAACTTCCTTCAAAGTTGGAAGAGATCGAACATCCACTATTACATCCGCCACTCCACTTGGCTCCTTTTCGTCTTTCGCATCATTTTTATCTGGTTTGGAAACGTCCGAAGCAGCTTAAAAGCTTCCAAACTCCATAGAGAAACAACAGCTAAACTTCCAAACTCACAATTACTTGCATTGCTACCGACCGTCTCCAAATCTTTAAGAATGTCGGGTTCAACAGTGCTTTGATGGGTATCAGAGAACACTGCTGGTAAAACGACATCAAAATCTGGTAGAGTTAGGTCTTCCGCAATACCTGAAAATAGTAGCACAATAGGGTTTGAAAAAAGAGCTCAACAAAGATCAATACCCGGAAGGTCAGGAAGTATGTTGGGAAGATCTAAATCTTCGAGAGGACCAGCTTCAGGTACGTAATCCAGCGGATCCACAACTCGTTTCAGATCCACAGTTACAAGCAGGTTTTCTGTGTCGTCTTCATGAGCACTAAACAAGGGACTCAAACCTGAAGCGAAAATCAAACACATTGTCGTCTTGTTCCGAGATCTACAGGTGGAGTATATACTTCTTGTCACTCAATCGTTAAAGGCTACCTCTTTCTGTTCTGAGTCTGAGGTTTGTCTAAGGATAGCAATAAAAATCATCACAAATCCAGAAATGTATCAACCTTTAATCCACCGCGATGAACAATCGAGAGATCGAGCCACAGACGTCACCCCGTAGCACCACTGAGGTCTTTTATGTGTGGGCTAAGCTCACGCAACGAGCACGAATGCAGTGAGTCATTGAATAACAGCAAGCATTCGTTCATTGTAGGAATTCTGGTAGTAATCCATGCTGCTTTCAACGTTTTTCTTGCCAAACCCCTTCACAAAACTTGCATATTGAGAAAACAATTCAACTTCAAAAGCTTTCTTTAATGCGCTTCAACTGTGCTTCCGCCAGTGCTTTTTCAAATTTCAGTTCTTTAGGTGGTAAGATTTTCTTGGGAGGTATACCGAGTCTGCGACTTTATCCGATGTGGGAATCATGGTAAGTTGAACAATCCACTGATATACAATACCTACCTTTGCACAATTATCTGACATTCCCCAAGAGCAAACAAACTAATTCTCTGATATACACTCAGATACCATAGAGCATATTTTGGCATATGTTTCCGTAGGCTATTGTTCCGGATTTTAACTAGCATTATCATTTTGTAGCTAAGCTCGGCAAATGCATTGAAGCCACAGTGACTTAAA